TGCGACAGCAAGGACAAATAACTGTCCCGATATTGCAGTGCGGGTGGTTACCTGAGTAGCCTTATCGAATCATAAAAGGGAATGTACCCCTTGAAGTGCATAAACAGTTAGACTCTTCATATCCTTTTGTATTATTATATATACATTGTATCCCTTTGCTATAATCAATCACTTGTTCTCACATACCAGTACAAGGGTTCGACTCAAGACTTCCACTGTGCTATCAAGAACTTACAAGGACTTAGCATTTTGAAAAGATCCTAGAGCTATTCTCAGCCCAACGTACACTGCGGAAGCGTCATGCGAAGGCTCAGCAGGATCATCCTGCTCTGAAACCATGTTGCATGAGGTTTTAGCTAAGTAGTAGGAAAAGTGGCGAGAGAAAAGAGAATTGACTAGGATAGAGAGAGAGGTACAAGAAGTGGGTTTTCCTCTCTACATTAGGATCCAGTCATGTGTAGAACACCTACCAAGCCTACACAACTACAATATATACATAATATATATGTTAACAGTAAAAACTGCATTGCACTAATTGCGTAATACTATCCAGCTAAAATGAATTGACTTAAACATTCTTGTTGCGTGAGTTGTACCACGGATATGTGGGCATGGCCCATGTGGGAACGGGATAACTCGGAATGGGGTATGTGGGCATGGGATGGGATATGTGGGCAAGGGAAATGGGGGCAAGGGATGTGTTGGCATGGCATTTGTGGGCAAGGTATACGGTATGTGGGCAAGGGATATGATATGTGGGCAAGGGATGTATGGGCATGCTATATGTGGGCAAGGGATATGTGGGCAAGGGATATGTGGGCAAGGGATTTGTGGGCAAGGGATATGATATGTATATCAACTTATACATTTGCTATGCATGTATTCATAGGCTAGAAACGTTCATGCTCTTAGAGAGTACAACCTAAACCCTTATATCACCCTGTTTGCTCTTGCTAGAGTTCACTTTGTCATTCTGACATGGTATCACGTTAGGTAGGTCCCACCCACCCGCGCTTCCGCCATAGCCTACCGTAGAGCGCCCCACCCATTAGCGCGCCACGCCCATAAGCACGCCCTGCTCGTAGCGCACCGTGTCTGCCCTAGCCCTCCGCGCCGCGCTGGCCCTAGCTCGCTGCGTTGGCCCCTGCTCGCCGCGCTGGCCCCTGCTCGCCGCGCTGGCCCTAGCTCGCCACGCTGGCCCTCTCTTCGCAGCGTCGGCCCCAGCTCGCCGCACCGCGCTGGCCCCTAGCCCGTCGCATCGTGCTGGCCTTAGCCCATTGCGCAGGCCCCTGCTAGCCGCGTTGGCCGTAGCTTGCCGCGGGCCCCTCCTTGCCGTGCTGACCCCAACTCGCCGCGCGCCGCATCAGCCCCAGCTTGCCGCGTCAGCCCCAGCTCGTCGCGTCGCCCCAGCTCGTCGTGTCGATGCCAGCTCGCCGCGCCGCCCTTGCCTGCCGCGTCGGCCCCAGCTTACCGCGCCGGACCCAGCTCGGCGCGTCGGCCCCAGCTCGCCGCATCGGCCCCAGGTCGCTGGGCCGCCCCCAACTCGCCGTGCCGGCCTCTATTCGCCGCGCCGGCCCATGCTAGCCGCGCCGGCCCGTGCTAGCCGCGCTGGCCTCTGCTAGCTGCGCTGGCCCCTGCTCACTACCGGCCCCTGCTTGCCGCCGGCCCTGGTTTCTCCTCTGCGCTGGCGCCCTCACCGGCCGTCTCCTGTACCGCACCCCACCGCACTCCACCACACTCCACCGCACCTGCCTCCTCCCCGCTCTTCCTCCTCGTGCGTTAAACTGCCGCTGCAGCTGTGCCTGTTGGCGGACACAACTCTTCGCCTGGACGTAGAGGGTCATGCGGTGGGACTTCGAGGCATGGCTCGTCGATCTGCGCTGCCAGCTGAAGGTTCAGCACCAAGATGGCCAGTCTCTGGCCGTCCATGTCGACGGTAAGCTGCCCTGCCCACCCGCGTCTTCTGCCCTCGCTGACACTGCCACGCCCGCTGAGCGTGAGGCTATTCCACTCCCTCCTCCGCCTATGTTGGCCGTCTCCTCCTGCCCCTGCTCTTCCCTAACTCACAGTAGCTTCCTTCCCCACTGTCGCTGCTCTCACCACCCACCTGCGCGCTCTAGAAACTAGCTACCGCACTGCTAGCACTGAGGCATAGTTCACTGTACTTCCTCCCCCCCCTTGGCGCTACCCTTTATTTCCTAGCCACGCACTGTGAGAGTACGACCCCGTTACACTTCTTTCTCATTTCCATCTTTTTCCTCTACCTCATTCTTCTTATCATCCTTATTCCTTTGATCTTTACTGTATCTCATCCCAGTTGGTTTCCTATTCCTCCTTTCTCATTATCCTTTGGGTTATCCTATTATTATAATTATACTGTATCACCGACCAGGCTCGGGATGTACTGGCGTGCTATATCTAGCGTAATCTTGCCGCAATCCCTTAAAGCCAATAGCCTCGCATGGCTATACGCAGGGTGATTCTATTTCTAGAAGGGTCTATCCCCTTTGGATAGGATAAACCTGGTTACCTGATGTACTTCGGAAGTATAGAAGCGTCTTGTATCAGTCGATAGTGCAATTTTTTCCTCGACACATTCGATCCTGTCACACTTGGTATCAGAGCCTTTCTCACCCAGCCGCGCTCAGCTAAGCAGAAGTAGCGGGAAAACCTGCTTCGCAAAACCGCCGGGGACGACTAATTTCGGCGCCGATTCTGGTCAGCACCAGCTCTGCGTTTTTTGAATTAACCCCTCCGCGCGTGTTTTGAACAGGATGACGAACTTCGACAACACTGAGGTTACCTAGCAGCTCTTCGCAAGCATCACCGCCCTTCAGGAAGAGATGCGAGCCGATCGCAAAGCTTAGCGAAACGAGTTCGAGCGAGTAACTCGACTCACCGGCGCGCAGCACGACACGACAACAGCGACAGTTTCTCGAGGCTCCGAAACCGCGCCCACTTGAGCCGTTCGATCCGAGCGATCGAAATTCCGACGTCCGCAGATGGATCGCCGGCATCGAGATCTGCTTCGCAACCGTCAGATGGAGCTCGCCAGTCTGAGACGGTCAACGCGTACGACTCGCGGCGACACTGATGCGAGGGCCGGCACTCGAGTGGATTGGCGGTAACAGTACCTTCATCCACGCCGAAGCCACGTGGCAGCAGTTCCACATCGACCTGCTGAAACGCTTCGAGCCGATAAATTAGGGTTTCCTTGCCCGGGAAAAAAATCATCGCCATCGACAGGTCGGGAATGTAGCGCAGTACACGCAACAGATGGAGGAATTTTATAACCGCATTCCTGACCTGACCAAAGGGGAAAAAGTACAGTCGTATCTTGCCGGCCTGAAGACCGAAGTCAAACGACAGGTAGCAGCGACAAATTACGCGAGCTACAGTGACGTCGTTTCGGCAGTAGAGCGGTTTGACATGGTCAACGCCGGAACACGAGGGGCGCACGTCAGCAGTACGTGACAGGGCGACCGCTCGGCTCACCCCACGTTCGCCGATCCGATGGAAATCGACAGGTTCGACGGGCGGTCACGTCTGAAAAACACCAACTACACGTGTGATTTTTGCGGGGTGCCGGGCCATCGAATCTTCGACTGCAACAAAATGAAAGCCGCACGAGCAGAGTATCGGCTACGCAACAGTGGCGGAAATTCGTCGGCCAATCAGAAGACAAAAAACGGAATTTGCCAGTGATTGTGGATCTAGCTGGCAAAAAAGAAAAGATCCGAAAGCGGCCGTAGGATTCCGGGAAAATCAACTTCAACGAAGCTGATTCGACGTGAGCAGGAGGAAATGATGGGGAAAAATCTCCACCCCACGACCAGTCTTCGCCAGAGAAAATCGTCGAGAAAAAATCGGACTCTACGAAAAAGGACTCTGCCGAGACGAGGAAACTCCGAGAAGACCCAAGAAATTATAAGGATTCGTTAAAGTTATCTTATAAAGATGCTTTAATGAAAACTTATGATTCTCAAGGGGCTAGAGCCTTGGAGAAATTTTGGGAGGGACTCCAGAAGAAGCACAAACTTGTGGAGATCATACCGGTACCGGAAAACTTGGGGACAAAATTAAGGAGTGTGGAAAGAAACCGACATTTCCATGGAGTCAACATCCTCTCCCGACACCAGCCCACAAGGACTACCCGTTCCCCAGGGAAATCGTCGGTGGAGCTGAAGCAGCTCAAGAGGAAGCTGGGGGTCTACAAGAAGCTGCAAAAACCCCGAACTCCTCCTTCGGATGCATCCAGCTCAGCCAATTCGGCATCAACGACACACACAGTCGTCAAGAAAGCTCAAGGTCCTGAGGGAGAGACTTTCTCCAAGCAGCCTCGGCCAGCTGCTAACCCACGAGCAGATAGCAAGAAAAAGGTGTGTTGGGAATATTGGGATGTACCCTATGATCCTATTAACGAAACTATCTTTGGGTACTCCGAGCAATGCCTGCCCCTCGTGCTTGAGGTCATCTGCAAAGGACGACGCCTCCACGCACTCGTGGACAGCGGAGCATCACACACCATCTGTGACAAGGCAATAATCGACCAGCTTCGGGAAGAGTACAAGCCTTCAGTATTCTCTGCGACGATGGTGGACGGCAGCAAGTTACTAGTACATGGCGAAGCAGTGTTACACATACAAATCGGACCATTGCGCTGGAAACCTGCACTCCCCATCACCAACATAAGAGGGCTTGACTTGATCTTCGGGTGAGACTTCCTAAAAATATTCAACCCCGAGATCAACTGGGTAAATCGTACCGCAAGCATCGACAACAATGGAAGGAGAGTCCAGCTACCCAACTGGGACGATACAAGAAATATCCCAGTGGAGACACTCGCACGATTCGAGAAGGATGTAAAGCAAACCGACACCGGGTTCCTGGCGATAGCAACAAAGGTGGAAAACAACGGGGAGAAAACCTCGGAACCTCCACAAAAAATCAAGGAATTACTAAAGGAGTTCCAAGACATTCTTCCTGACGACCTTCCAAATGTTCTAAGCCGAAATGAACCATATTCTACGCCCACTCTTGGACGAATGCGTGGTGGTGTACCTAGACGGCATCCTCTTCTACTCGCGCGACATGCAGCAGCACGTCCAACACCTGCGACGCGTCTTCGACATTCTTCGACGAGAACGATTCTACGTCAAGTTATCGAAGAGTGAATTCGCCCTCGAGAAAGTCCAATTCCTAGGACACATGGTGAGTGCTCAAGGAGTTCACGTCGACCCCAAGAAGATCGAAGGCGTACGCACGTAGAAGACATCCGAGAACGTGAAGGAGTTGCAGCAGTTGCTATGCTTCGCTAGCTATTACAACAGGTTCGTGCCACAGTACGCAAAAATTGCAACACCACTCACGAATCTGCTGAAGAAGAACACGCCCTATAAGTGGGAACCAAAACATCAGGAAGCCGTGGAGCAGCTGAAACAAGCACTCACGTCCGCACCAGTACTCATCTTGCCAGACCCCGAACGCCACTACATCATCGAAGCTGACGCAGTGACCAGGCAGTGGGAGCAGTCTTGATGCAAGACCAGGGGAATGGACTGCAACCAATCGCCTACCTCAGCAAGAAACTACACGGGGCACAACTAGACTACCCGATACACGACAAAGAGGCCCTTGCTATTATCATCGCCTTCAAAACGTGGAGATGTTATCTCGAAGGAGGAAAAACAACCGTCTACACCGACCACTGTAGCCTGAAATATTTGAAGACACAACCAAACCTCTCCAGGCGGCAGGTCCGGTGGATTGACTTCCTCGAGACACACTTCCACTATGACATCGTGTACAAGCCCGGCCACAAAAACAAAGCAGACGCTCTCAGTCGGCCTGCACACGTTGCCACAATCCAGGTCGAAGGGATGAACCCACTCCTGAAGGGACTCTTCACACACGGGTACGCCATTGACCCCAAAATTCCTTTGGCAGCAAAACGACACCTGCTACAGTGGGACCGTGACATCACGTACCGGAAGGGATTAACAAAAATCTGGGTACCCAATTACACTCCTTCGCGCCAATTACTACTCGAAGAATACCACGATGTTCTATACGCGGGACACTTCGGTAGCAACAAAACGCTCATCGGTATTGCAAAGAACTACTACTGGCCCCACATGGCAGACGATGTCCATAAATTTTCCACCTCGTGTACGACATGTCAGCGGATGAAGAGAAACAAGCAGAAACAGGCAGGACTGCTACAGCCTCTTCCTGTCCCAGAACAGCCATGGCAAGTGGTTAGCCTGGATTTCATAACCGGGTTACCAACTACCACAAACGGCCATGACGCAATCCTCGTCGTCATCGACAAATTCTCCAAAATGGGACACTTCATCCCGACACATACGATAGCACACACCGAAGAGACAGCACAACTATTCGTTCGCTACATCATCTCACAACATGGCATTCCAACCACACTCATCTCCGACCGAGATCCCAAGTTCACCAGCAATTTCTGGAAGGAACTTATGTCTCTGCTCAGGACCAAACTTGCCATGTCATCTGCCTACCATCCGCAGACAGATGGACAGACCGAGCACCTCAATCAAATTGTAGAGCAACTCCTCCACACAGCATGCAAAGGCGAAATCTCTAAATGGGACTTGCATCTGCCCATCCTGGAGTTTGCCTACAACAATGCCACTCATGCCGCTTCTTGATAGACGTCGTTCTTCCTCTATTACGCACGCCACCCGCTCACACCACAAAAACCGACAGCATCAGCTACCGTCCAACCCGCATACGACTTCATCACGACCATGGATCAGCTTTGGGATCGGACCCACAAGCGCCTCCTCGACATTCAGCAGCAACAGAAGCGCCAGGCCGATCGCCACCGCACTGACCACACCATCACCGTGGGAGACCAGGTTCTACTTGACACCCGCAATATCAACATCCGTCATCTCCCATCCAAACTGCAACCTCGCTTCTGCAGGCCCTTTCTCGTTGAAGCACAGGCCACTCCGGTTACCTTCCGCTTATGCCTGCCAGCAACCTGGAAGATTCACAACGCCTTCCATGTCCAACTTCTGAAGCCATATCGAGATCCTAACACGGTCTTCACCGGATGCCAGCCCCCGCCCCCTCCGCCCGTCCTCGTCCACCCTGAACCCGAGTACGAGGTCGAGTCCGTGCTCGCACACCGCCGTCGTCGGAATAGCGCTGTGGAGCTTTTCATTCGTTGGAAGGGTTATGATCCTTCTGAGGATAGTTGGGTTCCTGAATCCGAGATGGGTTACGCTCGTCGTCCTCTTTGCGACTACCTTGTTAAGCAGGGAGCTACTTCTACCACCCAGCTTTGAGGGGGGAAGTGTGAGAGTAGGACCCCGTTACACTTCTTTATCATTTCCATCTTTTTCCTCTACCTCATTCTTCTAATTATCTAATTCCTTTGATCTTTATCTCATCCCATTTGGTTTCCTATTCCTCCTTTCTCATTATCCTTTGGGTTATCCTATTATTCTAATTATATCAACGACCAGGCTCGAGATGTATTGGCGCGCTATATCTAGCGTAATCTTGCCGCAATCCCTTAAAGCCAATAGCCTCGCGTGGCTATACGCAGGTTGATTCTATTTCTAGAAGGGTCTATTCCCTTTGGATAGGATCAACCTGGTTACCTGATGTACTTCGGAAGTATAAAAGTGCCTTGTATCAATCGATAGTGCAACTTTTTCCTCGACACATTCGATCATGTGACACGCACCTCCCCGAACGCCTAGCCACTGCCCGTAATACCTTCCTAAGTCTCCACCCCGCTAACCTCACCCTTAGCGACTTTGTCGCCACCCTGTCTGCGATAGAGACCCGCCAGTGCACTATCGCTCAGTCTAGCGGTGCTGCGGCAGTCCCTATCTTTGAGGGATGTGCTCCCTCCCGGTGCACTTACTCTAATGTTTGAGCTGTTGTCGCTGAGACCGCCGCGGCAGCCTCGGCGTAGCCTCATCAGGGTAGAGCCCCAAGTTGCCCCAGAGGGGGGCGTAAGGCAGGGAAAGGTGCTGGGGTGGCGGGGGTAGCGGGGGAGGCACGCACGCTGCTACCGCACGCTGCTACCGCTGCCTCGACGATTTTTTCCGTCTCTGCTTCGGGCCTGCGCCGGCCCTCCCGGACTGGCACGGCCTAGTATGACGACATGTGGGGGTCTTTTAGATCAATATGGATCAGATATGTTCTGTTTTGTTTGCCATGTATGTTGATGACTCTAGTATTACTAGACCTTATTACCATGTGTTGACTAGCATAGGTGTGTCTCCTGTGTGTAGTTTAGGCTCCCCTTCTGCGTCTGGCGTAGAACTTCCTGACTTGATTAGCCTTGGCTTCACGCTAGTGCCCTCGCCGGCTGACGCTATCGCGATGCTCTCCTTCACGCTGGACTTTAGCGCATCAGCCTGAATCTTTCGCGACCACACCACCCTCACGCTGCTTTCAGCATCAACAACATTCTCCCTTGCCGACCCCTCCTCCGGTCCGGTAGTTGCACGTAGCTCCACCACTTTTCCTTGTCTGGCGGTTCCCTCAAGCTCTGTTACTGGTCTGCACATCCCCTCGTTCTCCAGGAACCTGGCTGGTGTTGGCTATCTTCAGAACCTCGGCGTTACCACCACGTTTCCTGGACACGAGTGGTATGTAGACTGTACTGAGGCCACGACAGGTGCCCCCCTCATCACATTCCCGCGGGACCTGGTGTCTGGCCTGTTCACTCTGGACACCGCGTCCCCCCCAATGGCTGCGGCCCCCAAGGTGGCTGCGTATACCCAGGTCGCTACGGCTTGCTCGTGCCGGTCGCTCACTCACCCGTCACTTCTATGACACCACCGCCTAGGTCACCTCACACTCCTGCGTCTACGTCACATGTCCCGGCACGGTCTTGTCTTAGGTCTCCTTGCGTCGCTTCCTGCCCTCCCTCCCTCTTCCGCGCCTCCGTGCACACCTTGCGTCGAGGGTCGGCAACGCCGTGCTCTTCATCCCTCCTCGTTTCACCCCACCATTGTGTTGCTTCAGACCCTGCACCTGGATGTCTAGGGCCCAGCCTCGGTCCCTGGGCTGCGTCGCGAATGCTACTTCCTGGTTCTTGTCGACGACTGATTGCCCTACACCAAGGTGTTTCCCCTGGAGCGGAATTCCGACGTGCCTGACGTTCTTATCCCGTGGCTTGTCGCTGATGGAGTCCACCGCGCCCAGCCAGTGCTTCGTCTCCATTCCGGCTTGGGAGGCGAGTTTGCCTCCGATCGGCTTGGCCTGTTCTGTCGTGCGGAGGGCATCACCCAGACGTACACACTGCCGGACCCACCACTGTAGAATGGGGTCGCTGAGCGATGCATCGGTTTGGTCATGGAGGTGGCTCATACCTCCATGATTCATACCGGTGCACCCCATTTTATGTGGCCATTCAAATTTCGCTACGCCGCTCACCAGCTTAACGTGTGCCATCGCTCTTCGCGCCCATAGGTTTCGCCGACCCTTCTCTGGACCTGGTCCCCTGGTGACGCGCCTGCGTTTCACGTCTAGGGCTGCCTCGCTGACGTCCGCGCCTCTGGTGCAGACAAGCTCACCGCCCACACCATCCCTTGTGTCTTTCCTGGTTCCCCCCTAGACGCTTCTGACTGGCACTTCTACCACCCGTCGTCTCACCATTTGTTTTTCACTCGCGTGACGTCACTTTTGACGAGTCTTTCTCCTTCTACACCTGCTTTCCCCACCGAGCTCTCCTGGTTACCCCAGCCCTGTTCGTTCTCCCCATTCCCCGGTAGCTCCCGCTACCCGTACTGCCTTGTCTAGTGTGTCTCACGTCACTCCCCTTCCTTCAGTTGGACCGGCGGAGGAGTGTGCAGACTCCGGGGGCTCTGAGGCTCATGGTGAGCCGCCTGTTTCTGCGGTGCCTGCACCCTTGGCCCCGGTGCCTCCTCCGCCGCAGCAGCAGTAACTATCGCAGCAATAACCATCGCAGTAGCAGCAGTCGCCACCGCCGCAGCAGCAGGGGTAAGTGGGCTCTGGGGTTGTTGGCGCTGGGGGTGCTGACTCTGAGGGGGGTGCTAGTTCTGGGGGTGCTAGTCTTGGGGGTGCTAGTCCTGAGGGTGCTATCGTGGCGAGTCCAGGAGGTACAGTAGCCGTGGTGCGGCAGGAGGTCCTGGTGTGGGCGCAGAATAGCAGCAGCAGTCACCGCCAGTGTCCGCCCGCATCCTCGTTCTTCCCTCTCCCGACCGACCGCACGTGCCTCCCCCAGCTCCGCCTTCTCCTTCTTTCTACGGCCCTTTGTTCCCTCCGCCGGACTCGTCTCTGACTTGTTCTCCTCCTGTGTCTCCTCCTTTGTCTCCTGACCATACGCCCCCCTCTAGCTGGTGGTCTCACCGTCCCTCTCATGCTCGTCCCATCTCTACCGCTCTGAGTGTCCACCCTATGTCTCTCCGTTCTCACGCGTCTGGTGCTCCTCCCACTCCTGTTCTCCCGTCGCCTCCTCAATCGTCCATCTCTGTCTCCTTGCCTCCTCTCTCTGACTTTCTCCATGCTGCTAGACCTCGAGGACCCAGATGCCCTTCACATCCCAACCCCTCGCACCTACGTTGAGGCGACTTTGGGACCATGGGCCTCTCAGTGGATAGCTGTAATGGACGCATAGATGACATCTTGGAGATCCACCAGCACGTACGTCGACGCAGTTCCCCTACCTAGGGCGAATGTAGTCGATGGTCGGTGGCTCTTCAAGGTGAAGCGCCCTCCTTGAGAGCCGCCAGTGTTCAAGGCACGCTATGTTGCTAGAGGCTTCAATCAGCGCGAGGGGGTTGGCTTCTTCCAAGACTTTGCCCCGACCTCGAAGATGACCACTCTTCGGGCGAGCTTCACTCACTTGACTTCTCCACAGCGTTCCTCCAGGGCAGTCTGCACGAGCAGATCTACTAGCGCCGCCCGCCACGCTTCTCTGGCACTTTCTCGCCTAGGACCAGGTGGTTCCTCCGGCGCCCGGTTTATGGTCTGCGGCAGGCACCCCGTGAGTGGCACGACATGTTGCGTGCTACCCTAGCGGACCTGCAGTTCTTCACGTCCTCTTCTGACCCGTCCCTCTTCGTTCGCTCAGTCCAGACTACGCTCTACATCCTAGTCTACGTAGATGACCCAGTCTTTGCTACTGCAGATAGAAGCACACGGGCCTCAGTGAAGGCCGAGCTGCTGAGGAGACACACTTGCACTGACCTAGGAGAGCTGCGCTGCTACCTTGGGCTGCATATCTCCAGGGACAGAGCAGTGCGCACCATCACCCTCACACACTCACACTTGGTGCGCTAGGTCCTTCAGAGGTTCGGCCTTCAGTTCTCCTCTGCACAGGCCACCCATCTGCTAGTGGATCACAGGCTCTCGGCTCTAGTCCCTGACGAGCCGGTCGAGCCTAGTGGTCAGTACGCATAGCTTGTGGGCTGCCTCATGTACTTGATGACTTGCACTCGCCCATATCTTGCGTACCCGCTTAGTATCCTCGCTCTCTTTGTTGCGACAGGCAGACACCGACCCCAGCATTGGTCGGATGCTAAGAGGGTGTTGCATTATCAGGTATGGGGCTAGTGCCGGGAGGACGCGGACCAGTTGTGCTCACAGGGCACACAGGTTCTCACAACGCTTCATGGACGGACAACGTTGAGACGCTCTGGTCCTCTCAGGGCTACTACTTTAGCCTTGGTGCAGGCGCT